GAGCAACAGGGGCAACAATTTTATCAAAGAATACGTATGGGCCGGCCCAGATTATGGCCGTCACTGGACATAAAAGTGTCCAATCGCTAACAGTGTATCAACGGGTTGATAAATCAGAGAAAATAAAAATGGGTCTGACATTGTCCACAATTTAGTGAAGAAAGGTAATGCAACGCCTGCACTCCCGTCTACAGCAGTTCTCGCATTGCCATCCCCTGAACCGGCTCCGTGTAATCAGCTGGCATTGCCTAGCATCGAAAGCAGTGCAATGTACTTCAGTCTCAACCGACAGTACAAATTGCAAATGAAAATATTCAGAGGGATAGAGGACGAATTGACATCTTGAAGTATCTTGATGGATTTGATCTTGTTGATATTTTCGAGGAATATAAGGAAAACCGATGTGTTCAAAACAAGTTTTCAGTCCGAAACGCGTGCGTGTATACAGTCAAATTCAGCAGTATTTAATGACTGCAAATTTACCATTATTCAAAACTTAGCCATCAATAAATGGCACTTAAATTTCATTATGGAAAATACACATTCATAATTGAATATATTGTTTTATAATACTGTTCCGAGAGTTTGTGATATTTAACATTTTAATGATTCAATAATTATCTTTTACATATAAGAATATGTGATACATATACAATTGGTCTAAATGTTAATGTTAAATGCATTATGTTATTGGTTGTATATTTCTATCAAACAACAGTATTAAGTAGACAAAACAGAAAAAAAAACCACATCGAAAGTTATACACTATTGACAAGTGTACAGGGTAAATATATATATATATATATATATATATATATGAATGACACAAAATGGCATAATGTAACTTTTTTATTGCTGTTCTTCATCATAAAGTTATATTGCCTCCCAATATGAAACAAAACCAAAAGTGAGATACGTTGGATATATTTTTTGAAATAAGAAATAAGTAATGTCATAAACAAATCAGGATAAATTCGTTAAACAGTCATTGACAGTGTACAACTGTCCAAATACGGAATGTATCATGAAAAAAAAAAAAATAAGTAGTGTCATAAAAACATCAGGATAAATTCGATACACAGTTTTCAATTGTCCTAATACGAAATTTATCATAAAAAAACCCCAATAAATAAGTGGTGTGATAACAAAATCAGGATAAATTCTTTACACAGTGTGCAGTTGTCCTAATACGGAATTTATCGGGTCAATAAATTCCTGTATTAGGATAATTGCACACTGTGTAACTAATATTATTATCATTTTTCTTAAAAAACCTTTTTATGGGGTCTGTCTGAAACGAATAATAAGGAAAACGAAAGCCGTCAAAACGAGGAGCACATATGGTACCGTAGGAATAACAAATGAACGTTGGAAATAGCTTTGTCGTACAAATTTGGTAAATCAATTTTTCGATGATGTCTGTTTCGGGGAACTGTTTGCTTTCATCATAGTTGTTGTTTTTCTTTACAAACATTGTCCCATCCTTTAACCAAAATTGATATTTACGTTTTATTATTTTGTATTATTTAACTTTGCATGTAAATCATATGAACAGTTTTAAAATGCTTGGTATGTTATGCTCGCTGCTTTTCATATGCGCGGTTTGAATTAAATTTGCGCGAAAAAAATGTTACATTTTCGGGAGAAATATCACTACATTTGCGCGTAATTAAAATAGTAATTTAATTACATATGACATTTACAAATGTAATGCAAAGCTTCGTGGTTATGATAAGTAGTTCTAGACATAACGGTGATCGAATGTTAGTTGGTTCTTAGTTTCGCCTTATACGATTTTGCTGTGTACATCCACGAAATATCTCTTGATTTTCAACGTATTCCTCCCTTTATTTGTAAGCGATATTTTTCTGGTTCCATCATAAACGACCTAATCGTCCAAATAACACCTACAAATTGAATGGATATTGGCTCAGTAAAATAATTAATACGACTTAACAGTGAGTTGGATTTACTAACATGGTAAATATTCAGGTAAACGTCACGCATATGTAATCTTTTTGTTTATCTCGCGCAAATGTAATGTCCGTTAATCCCTAAATTAGCGCAAATGACATGTCCGTTAATCCCCAAATTCGCGCAAATGTAATAAGCCCGTTAGGCTATATTTTAAAAGCTATATTTTAAAGGATTATAGACTAGTGTTGTTTCAATCTATATCAGTAAGTATCTTGAAGAGAACACATGCATTACACGCGAAATTAGGTAACAAAAGGGTTGCATAGTCTCTTGTATATGCTAGATTTATCTACTTAATTATAAATCCATGTGTACCTAATTATATTGCCAGTAAATATTAGTGAAAAATTAGTGCTCGTCAAAATTATCTTACAAGAAATCACACACATAGGATACAAACATACCTGTACACATTGCAATACTGCAGTTAAGTACTTCAAAAGACCTCCCATTACAGTATGCACCATTTAACGATGGTAATGGATTATTACAGAGTCGGTATCTCGTTTGAAAACCAGATTTACAGCTAGAACTACATATTGTCCAGTCTGCCCATGATCCCCAGTTTCCGTTAACTATCAGCAAAATAATGTAAAATCGTAAATTGCAATATGAACATAATTTTGAGAATATGAACAATAAAACAGACCAATAAATATACAATAAAAAGATGTGGTATAATTGCCAATGAGACAATTCTCCACTATGGACCAAATGACTTAGAAGTTAACAACTATAGGTCACCGTACGCCCTTCAACAATGCGCAAAACCAATACCGCCTAATCAGCTAGAAAAAAACCCGAAATGACAAATATAAAATTGTTTAAACGAGGAAACTAATAGCCTGATTTATGAACAAAATAAGGAACAAAAAACAAATATGATATACAGAAAAAAACAACAACAACTGAATTACAGGGCTCCTGACTTGGGACAGGCACATACAGAATGAAACTAGTTTGAAGGTGCCAACCCTGGTGACAATAAACAAATTATATTAAAATGTATATGAAATAAACTGCTTTATTAAGAATGAGAAAATCAAATTACATTACATAACATAACCAACCTATTTGAACGTTTAACGGCTAATGCAATGACGAAGGGAAGCATAGACTGCATGACTCTTTTGCTCGTTGAATACACATACTTGGTTGAAATAAATGTTATTTAAAAATTAACCCAATTTGATATTTAAATATTTACATATTTTGTTATTATATTTTGTATGATTTTATTTATAACAACATTTTAAGGAAATAATTAATTCAGTTACCACTTATTAAATGCACCGATAATATCTTGGTCATTTCAATTGACCCATATATTTAGTTCTCAAAGGGTGACTCCTTAAAACTACTAACTAAAAAAAAAGTTTGAAAAATTAGAGCCGTATAAAGTGGTTAACTGATCGTCGAAATGTGATAATGTGAGGGGGCACGGTGTCCTATAGCCACATATTCTTCATTCAAATGTTTTGAATATACATATGTATATGTATCGTCAATATTCCTAGCTGCCTGATGTGGCCTTGTAGTAGGTTGCTAGCATATTGGCTTCGATCATTGGCCGGTTCAGACCAAAGATTGACTTCATTTTTGCTAAAATGCGATATTTAGGATAAAAGATTGCTCGGTCCGGAGTCAGAATACTTTTTCTTGGTAAGTTGAAATTCAGTGACCCCTTAAATATTCTTTGTCAATGAAATGAATAAAATAGTATAAGTTAATGTACTTCAACGGATATCAAATATTTTGACTGAAAATGTCTTTTGTATTTGGACTCGTATACCATTTCAAACTGTCATTCCCGTTGAACGAAACAACACAGACCAAACCTGAACTGAGCACACCTACTATAATACAACATAATTATGCAGGGATTTTTTTTTGTATTCAAATTTTATAATAAATAAAAAAAAAAAAAACTTTATGAATAGAAGCGATAGTTTTTATCATCTTTTATTAGAAATTTTCTGACTTCGACATTTTCTTATCTTGTAAGAAAAATATCCTTTTGAAAAATTGTTTCCCCACAAAAAAACCCTAATTTGTAAATAGATACTATGTAGATGAAGAAAGAAAGGAAGAACATTGGATAACGAAAAATAAGCGTGTAAAAAATAGCAAAATGGAGCGTTCGTCTGTGAAGTATATTCAACAATAATTGTCCGAATCAAAACCATGAAAGATCACCCAAATCGGTCGTATGATAGGTAAAGGATACGGTTTGATAAGTGATATTATGTCTTCAACATTTAAGGCGTGAATCAATAAAACCACTTGATGAATGCACATACATGATTTCTATAATTTCTCATCATTTAAAAATTATTTAATATGGACGAAAATTCCAGGGTTCAATTTTGAAAAATTATGATTGCTTTGTTTAAACATGTTAACAAAATTGATAGGTATGCGATAACCGTTGGCATAATGAAAGTACGCTGAGCTCCGTACGTAAGTGATTTTATTTGAAGTCTCTATCAGCATGTTATCTGGATCATGTTATTCATCCCAATGTCCTATCCTTTTTTATAACATTTATATTTTTACTCAAAACTGTTTACTGTCAACTGGTACTTCTAGAGTGTGCAGTCTTTACCCTGAAGTTGTTTTACACTGCTTTCAAGTTAAATGAACCTGGTTAAAACAGAGAAAAACAAAAAAACCGGAGACAAAGAAAATAAAACCAAGATAAGGTGAAAATCCTTACTGTGAACTATAACTGTGTCAAATAGCATTTTAAAGTTAGATTCTTATGTCACTATTTTAAAAGACAGTTTATATTCCAAAAGACATGTTATCGTCTAACTATCGGGTGTTAAGCAGCATATAATCAATAGAATTTAACATGTAGGCATTCACAATAAAAAAATGCACAAAAAGAATATAAAAGATATTTCTTTTAACGACTTCTGTACCATATCTTCCACTTCCTCAATAAACAAATAAATATGATTTGAATATTTCAGTATTTACAATCTAGTTTATTCTAGAATATACCTGGACAAGAACTACCAGCACATGTTTGCGATTCCGTTGAGTTCCCAGTACAGAATGATCCACCAAATGATGGGAAAGGAGTGTCACATCGTCTTGTTTTTTTTTCTTGTACCAGATCCACAAGTGGAATTGCAAGATGACCATGAAGCCCAATAGCCCCAATTACCATTTACTGTTACGTTTTATTATTCATACAGTTATAACATCAATCTTGTTTTCTGATGACAATGAACTAAGTGACTTTCTCAAATATTTCCGTATATACACCAATGATGATGTCAAATGCATATATGTACTGTTTGTATCTTGCGAAAAAAAAAAAACTGACATATTTAGTAAAAAAAAAATCCTTACAGAAATACACTATAAAAGAGTTATTGTTTTAAATCAAAATTTAGTTAATAATATTTGAAGTAACCAAAGCCGGTTTCTTTCGTTTCTATGGGAAGTCGTTTCATTTCATTAAAAGAATGACGATAGGACTTTTCAAACTATTCGCTGAGCAATGGCATTGCTTTGGTTGGTACTTCGAGACGGAAGTAAGCAAAGGAAATAATATTGCTAGTATGCATAGAACCTCGCATTTTCATGATTGGTAAAGTTAAGAACTGTACTAAGAGTGGGATGAATACATAAAAATGAGGTATGTTCAATTCAAGTTTTTCTCATAAACTACCCTATGTATAGGGATCTGTACAGAAGCAATTGCTCAAAAAAACCAAGTAAATTTATCATAAAAAGATATGATAGACGCTAATTAGATGTAAGGGGAAGGTTGAGCGTTCACAAACATGTTAATCCCCGCCATATTTTTAGGTGTCTGATCGAGATTGGGAGTCTTTGATTCAATGGCTTTCATTGATTGTTTCTGTCAATATTTGCGTTTCGTTTATTGTTCATGTTGTTTTTGGTCTTTGATTTCTTGTTTGAATTGTTTTACTGTTTGCTGTGTAAGGGTCTTTTAAACTGTTATAGTTGACTTTTAGTAATAGGTTTGGCTCAATGTTGAAAGCCGTTCGATGTACTATCTATACATCCCTGGTATTATAGTGTTTGGGATTAGACGTTCCTGATGATGGTAAATACAGAAGAGTGCTTCAGCGGCACAATATTTATTTCACTGCTGATGAACTGTTCGTCCCCGAAGGTATCATCAGCTCAATAGTCAGTACTGGCATGATCTATACCAAATCTTAAATAGATACTTGTCTATACCAAAATTGTCTGGATCATAAATTCCTGAGTTGTGTAGGATTCAGACTAAGATCCCATTTGCAATGAAGTCAGTGAGGAAATCCATTTCTAATATGTTCGTATATAAACAATAGAATAACTTGTCTTTTTGGAAATGCAATGATGTATTTCAAGAAGTACTATTGGTGTTTATTCATAGCATTATACTTGGATTACAAAGTAACTATGCACTATCATAAGGTAGTGCGCTTTTAAATCGAGTTAAACTTATTAAACACTATGTCATTATACAATCTGATGCGATGATGGATATGTAAATAAGCATCAATATGAACGTTTTGGTAAACACCAATAACAGTTAACAAAGCTTCTACAAAATGATATCAATTTAAAAAAGAGCTATACTGAATAAAAATAAAAGTGAAAACGATATCGAAATGTAGTTATTTTTAAATAATGTGAATAATAAAGATAAAAAAATCAAAAATGAGCAGGGGAAAAAATAAACAAATAGATAAATAAATACACAGAGCGAGGAATAGAACTGACAAGATCTGTTCTGGGGTGGAGCTCCCAGAACCAGTTAAATAGCAGATATGTAAGAATCAGCTTTAGGTTAGAACTGTTACAAACTTAACGTGGGAATAACCAACAGATATTAAAATAAACAGATGTGGTGGGATTTTTGCTAATGAAACAACTCTCCACCAGCGAGCAAATGTCCAAAACTGCGATACAACAGCTTATAGGTGTAATACCACCAAATCATAGTACGTCACATCCGGTTGCATACGAAAAAGGGTCGAAAACAAATTCTCCCTTGAATTTGACAGTTGTAGGAAATTAACCCTTCATTTCATTGCAGTAAACATTTATCTTAGGTGTTTCAAAGCACCCTTATCTTTTTTATTTGGTGTTTCTATAGAATATTTTGGAAATTTGAGGTTACTTGGTTACTAAAGTTTGTACACAAGAAAAAAAGGTGAGAATGTGATTCGTTAACTTCCAGTGATGGTTATTTTCTTATATGCAATGAAATGAATTTTGTCTATAGTACTGGATAGGATAAAACTGTATTCATGCCAAGTATTTCTTTATTTGAAATAAAGATAAATTCTGCACAATTTTTTGAAAAGTGCAAATTTAACAAAGACTAATAGGGAAAAATCCATGGTGGTATTACACATATAACAGAATTTTTTTAAAGGTGCATATTATATTGTTCTAGGGACTGTTCTTGGACAGTTCTTCTGAACGTTCCTGGCTGATTTTAGAAGATGTAAAAACTGATGCAGATGCTATTATTCCATAATGGTATATATTTATTTACCACCATATTCTCCTCTACATCTTACGCCAACATCTTCACTATGGCCGCAGTTTTCGGTTCCCAACCCTGGATTTCTACAATTAGCAATTCTCCTTTCAGTACCATTGCATGCCATATCATCTAACCATACTGGGTCTGTTCCACCACCTGATGTGTAAACTGTTGGATTGGATGTCCTATTTTGAAATAATTAATTCGTATATTTGTTAAAAATAATAACTTGAATAAAAATGAAACTTTTGAGATCACCCCTGGTTTTTGTGGTTTCGGTGTTGTTCATTATTTCCATAATAGCAAGTATACACAGTGTAAGCATTAATATTATAATGTATTGAGTGTGCACACATGTTCTGCTTCACTGAGTTGCATTTAGTCAAGACTGATAAGTTATAATCAATAACAAACTGAATAAGTAAAGTGATGGGGATGCACAGTCTTTAGTTTTGTATGTTGTGTTTTGTATAATGTTATTGTGCAAATGTATTTTTGATAAGTTGGATACCTAACTTGACAATGGGCCATAATATATTAATATGGTGATATAAAGTGTCTTCATATGATGACATCATATAAGTTTACATTACAGAGTAATATATCTTTTGTACGCACACACTAACGTTTGTGTCGAACACATTGGTGGTATAGATATGTTAGATAGGGAATAATATAGCTTGATTAAACAAGTTGATACTATCACTAATGATACCCCCTCTATATATATTTGGTTGATTCGTAATGAATGTGATTATTCCAAATTTTAGAAAGCCTTGATGTATAGTTTTGGAGACGAATGCCCACAAATTCTATACTTGGCCATCGGGTGAAAGATTAAATAAGTTTTTGGTAAACAGGAATTTGAAAAAATGTTGATCTGAAAATTATTCACACAGTTTGATATCAATTTTAGGAATCCTTGGTTTGTAGTTTCTCAGATAAACGCAATAATTACGTTATACAGTGAACGGATGGACTCATGGAAACACGGACAAAAAGATGAACAGACGTAAACAATATATCTCCCTCTATCGGGACGGAGAATATTTGGTTGTTTACCTGTAACCTAGTTGTCGACAAGCCACAACTGCATCTGAAGAATCGAAATAATCATCACATACAGTTCCCCATTTAGAGTTGTAATAAATCTCGAGGCGTCCTTCTTCATGATTATTTCCATTTACTAATCGTAGATCTCCTGTTGGAACAAAAAACCGAAGAATTACTTATTCTCTATACGATATAAAAGACAGGAGACTTGATATGATTGCAAATAAGACAATTATACAGCACAGTTCAAATGAAGTGGATGTAAGCAACTATCGGCAACCGTAAGACTTCAACAAACACAAAAACCAATACAGATAGTCGACTTTAAGAGGCCCCGACATAAAAGTGTGATACAATTCAAACGAGAAAACTTATGGCCTTATTTATAACAAAACAGTTTACGAAAAACAAATATTACATATATGAGGCAACGACAACCACTGAACTATACTAAAGGCTCCTAACATTTCTCAGTGGTCAGATAAAGTGTTACGAAATACCTAGTGTAGAGAAACGGAAGATGCCAAAGGGATATTCTCACTCATAAGTTGACTAAAAAATGACAGCACCATGGCAAAAAACGGAAGACTACATAAAGAAAATCAACTGTCTACAAAACACAATATAGAAAAACTAACGAAAGGGAACAGTAGTATACCGCTGTTCATTAGTCATATTTCGATTAAGCAAAAACACATCCGGGTAACAAACTAAAACCGAGAGAAACACATCAACCATAAGAGGAAAACAACGGAACAACAGAAACACTGAACTACAACAAGAAAAAACGCCAGCATACATAGAAACGGATTATCAGATAACAACTGCCATAATGCTGATTTGGTACAGGATATTTTAAGAAAACATGGTGGGTTGAACCTGAGCAACACGATACCCCAACCACACACCTTATGTTATTGCATATGATCTAGAAGGATAACCATATTCTGATCAATATACAGCCCTTGTCGTGCTGCTCGTGTAAATACAAATTCGGTGACAAGCATTATCTTAACAATTATTTTGAAAGTATGCTCTACCTTCTACACTGCCGTAGCCCCCATAACATCTTACACCCACGTCTTTGCTATGTCTACAATTATGCACATTCCATCCTCTATGACTGCAGTAATCAAGTCTGTTTTCCTGTCCATTGCAAGCAACATCATCAAGCCATATGTTCCCAGTTCCAGTTCCAGCAGTGTAATATTGCACATCTGTGGTCCTTTGCATTGCAAAAATAGTAATATTTGATATAAGTTTCGAAGATACAATAATAAAACCAAGAAATGCAATATTATGGATTACTTTTTATGTCTCGAAACGATCGAAATGAGTTGTGATCATCATGGTATGCTTGTTTTTCATTGTTCTGATTCTTTTAAATGATTCATTCACTGAAACCAGAAAAAGTCATTTATGATGCTTGTGCCTCAAAGTCAACAGAACGAGCTTTAGTTATGAATCTCTGTTATTCGACTGTAAACATTTTGTAGTATTCCTAATCATGACATTTTCACTGTGGGACGGGCATAATTGGTGATGCAAACAAAAAACAAAAACAGGTTTCGCTGATCCGTGGTCACTCTATTTACTCGAGTTCAAGCTATTTTGTCAGAAATTTTCTCTCTATATGTTTATTCAAAAAGAACTAATGGGTTTAAAACGTTGGTAAATAGCTAAAGCCCCTTATTGAATTAGTCTTACCGCATCTTCAGTTGCTTGCAGACTACTAATGCGTCTTCAGATCCAAAGGCGTCGTTACAAATTGTTCCCCATGAACCACTATGAAAAATATTTAGCAGATCGCTATCACTTCCTCCAACTAACATCAAATCTCCTGAAATGTAATATAGGATTTTGAAAACCTTTTGTTCAATGTGTTTACATGTCAAACTACTTGTTTTATCTAGATTACTTAGAAGGAACCCTTTCAAAAAACCTAAATTTGTTTCCTCATTACGATTAGTGACGATTTATTCTCTGAGGTTGGCCCAATGACTAGATTCAGATAATCATCCTTAACTGATTACCTTCTTCGTATGAACTCGTTAATAAAAATATGACTATACTGTAACTTTGATTTGAAAGTATTTGTATTAATATTTATTAATAATCATTGCTCATTTTTACAATGAACGCGTACTTCTTGTTGAAACAGGCCATATGTCTAATTGAAAGGATTTTTTGCGTACAACGTTTATTAGAATGACTATTGTACTCTACCTTCGCAGCCACCAAAGCATCGAATGCCTACATTTTCACCTGTTCTACAGTTATGACTTCCCCATCCATTATGTGAACATGTCTTTAACGAAGTTTCTAAACCATTACAACTCACTTTGTCCATCCATATTTTTGTAGTATATCCCCCTTGTGTATAAATCTGTACATCTGATAAACATCTGTCAACATTAGATTGTATATGGAAAGATATTGAATTTTTGTCATGTGCAAATTGTCAAATGATGTTTTGTGTCTGAAATAAATACACACTACAAATATGCGTCATTGTAAAACACAAACATGTTATCATTTGGTTCTGAGATAACCTTTCCTGAAGATCACAAATTACGTGTTGCTCAAGCTTCAATTTCCTGTTGTGTATGCTATTATATTTCTGTCATTCATATTTCTTAGGGCTGTATATGGTCTAACGTTCGTCTACACTTCATGCAGATTGCCTCTACGTTATATTTTTAATGTTTTAGTAAAGACACACCCAGACCTTTTAGATTTGAAAAAAAACTTAAGGATATTTAAAGACTTATGTTAGGTTAATATTAAGCAGAATGTGAACAAACGACAGAATAGAAAAGAGCAATCAGAGAAGAATTTTCAATAATTAATTTTGATTCCATATGTAAAGGTATAATTTGTTAAATCCAGATATTTGTTGGTTTGTCTTAATGATTGTGACTTAAGGTTTTTGTTTCATTGACGTATTGAGGTAAATTATATGTCCTTCCAAATACCGTTTCGATCCCTAACGTAACTAAAGAGGCATTAATTGTCGAAATCCGGATATGGTGTACACATTTTTGCACCTCATTTTTGCAGTATACCATCCTTTCCGCAAGTTTATTGTTTTCTGTTTGGTATTGAATAAAAAGTTAAGATACATCTTGTGGTCCGTTTATTTGGCAATCGCCAATGGCCTTCAGCAGGGTTTAAGAACATCCGTTGTTCGACCTGTTAGTCAAATGCGTTTTGTTTAAATCTACTTTTTCACTTTTTTGGTTTTTTGGAAAATGTAGTTTGTGCTGTATTTAGACCCCTTTACCAAGAAATTAGTTTTTGCATGCACACGTATAAACAATTGCTGTTTTTATCCAACGTAATCATAGGTTTGTACGTTGTTTTCAATTTAGACTTGTTTCTATTTTTTCGTTTGGGTATGTATTATATATGCCTTCGGGTTTATATGATCCGTTCATCCTATTTCGACTCTTCAAAATTTAAGAGTCTATCCTAAATTGAGGTAAATTATATGGCCTTCCAAATACCGTTTCGATTCCTAACATCACTGACGAGACATTAATTGTCGAAGTCCGGATATGGTGTACAAATTTTTGCACCTCATGTTTGCGGTATACCATCTTTTCCGAAAGTTTATTGTTTTCTGTTTGGTATTAAATTGATAGTTAAGATCCATTTTGTTACATCTTGTGATCCGTTTATTTGACAATCGCCTATGGCAGTCAGCAGGGTTCAAGAACATCCGTTGTTCGACCTGTTAGTCAAATGCGTTTTGTTTAAATATACTTTTTCACTTTTTTGGTCTTTTGGAAAATGTTGTCTGCGCTGTATTTAGACCCCTGTACCAAGAAATTTGTTTTTGCATGCACACGTATAAAAAATGCGGTTTTTATCCAACGCAATCATAGGTTTGGACGTTGTTTTCAATTTAGACTTGTTTATTTTTTTTTCGTTTGGGCTTGTATTATATTTGCCTTCGGGTTTATATGATCCGTTCATCCTATTTGGACTCTTCAAAATTCAAGAGTCTATCCTAAATTGAGGTAAATTATATGGCCTCCCAAATACCGTTTCGATTCCTTACATTACTGAAGAGACATTAATTGTCAAAATCCGAATATGGTGTACAAATTTTAGCACCTCATATTTGCGGTATACCATATTTTCCGCAAGTTCATTGTTTTCTGTTTGGTATTAAATTAATAGTTAAGATCCATTTAGTTACATCTTGTGATCCGTTTATTTTGCAATCGCCAATGGCAGTTACCAGGGTTTAAGAACATCAGTTGTTCGATTTGTTAGTCAAATGCGTTTTGTTTAAATATACTTTTTAACTTGTTTGGTCTTTTGGAAAATGTTGTTTGTGTTGTATTTAGACCCCTGTACCAAGAAATTTGTTTTTGCATGCACACGTATAAAAAATGCGGTTTTTATCCAACGCAATCACAGGTTTGAACGTTGTTTTCAATTTAGACTTGTATATATATATATATATATATATATATATATATATATACAGCTCGTCTTAACATCAGCCCAACAATGTTAGATCTGTAAATTTGCTTTCGCAAATTTTTTGTTCTTCCCTCGCCGGGATTCGAACTCATGCTACTGAGAAGCAAATTTACAGATTTAACATTGTTGGGCTGATGTTTAGACGAGTTGTATATATATAGAATGTACACAGCCATGTATCACCAACACTGCTGGTGATCCGATGGATAAATCTGTTGTAGAGTTGTCACTGGTTCAGACGTACTTATACATATAATAATGTTTGTGACTGTATCTTGCATTAATTTGTATGATCCTTTAAAATAGATATTTAAGCTGATCTGTAACAATTACATCTTCATGCCTTATATATCATGTACTGTATTACGACGCTAGATTAAAACTGGTGAGGAAAGGTAACACCCGGCCACCGAAAGCTTTATTATGAAGCCTAGGTGGTCGTGTGGTCTAGCGCGTCGGATACAGTGCAGGGGTGTTGGTGTCACGATATCTCAGTAGCATGAGTTCGAATCCCGGCGAGGGAAGAACAAAAAATTTTCGAAAGCACAAATACCACAGGCAGAATCAAAACTCACCAGTCGAAGAAAGACCGACCAAATCAGGACAAAAACGACGAGAAGACATGGCATACATCTCATATCCTTTAAAGGAGTAGGCTTGGTTTGACCCAATTTGGCCAAAAATATAGCATTTTTAACAAATTGGTTAAAATGTAAACTTTAAGCTATTTATTGGAAAGTAGAATACTTCTGTTCCATAAATATGGGCTGTTTTTGACAATACAATGCACATGCATCAGGTAATAGCATCATAAATTTATGCAATTTACTGAAATCGTCACAATTTTGGCATTTATGCTAAATTTACGACGGTTTTTGCCTAATATGGAAGTGGCCGCATTTATGTTCAGTCTTAATATTTAAACATATGTTGTATTTGACAATAATACATAATATATATAAAAGTTAAGACTGAACACGAATGCGGCCACTTCCATTTTAGACAAAAACCATCTGAAAAATGACGTTTTATGGCATATTTGATAGATTTTTCATATATAAGCCTGAATTTGAGCGTCCCTAATGACCAAATCAGTTCAAATCTTTTACAAAAAATAATTGAATCGACTGAAGTAGACACTTGAGTGTTTTAAAAAAGGCAAAAATATTTTATTAGATGTACTTTGAATATTAGGCCAAATCTAGCCCTTACCGGACCTTCTCTTTTTGTACATTTTATCATTGATACATTGTATAAGTGTGTCAGAATATTCAAAATACTCTATTTGCAAAGAACATCGTTGAATATTATGAGAAGACATTAGGATGCTTTTTGGAATTGTCCCTCCGCAGGCATATACAAATGTATTATGTTTTAATTTCATTAAATTGCTTTAAATCAAAAGAGAGCAAAATCAAAGGAGAATAAAACTTCAAATCATTTTTTTTTATCAGAAAATAGCTTGGTATGCTTAATGCTATCCAAAATATTGCATAAAATGGTCTAACGATATTATATTGATTGATTGATTGATTGATTGGTGTTTAACGCAACTTTCAACACTATATAATGTGCTATTTCATGGCGGTTAGTTTGTAATGTTGGAAAAGCGCGAGTAGCCTCAGAGATCAACCGATCTTTGGTAGGAAAATTGACAATCCTAGTCAATAAAGATCGAAATCGAGCGCACCTGTCCCGTGCGGGATTCTAACTGTGAGTTTCAGTGTTGACAGGCTAGTGATACAATAGTGCGATTACTTAGACCACTCGGACCCGAGGCTTCTAACGATAATATATAACAATACGTTAAATGTTTGCTCCAAATAAAATAAGTTTATATTGTTTTGTATTCATTTAAAAATAAAATTAGCCTTTTATTTATAGTAATTTGGAATATGTTGTCGTAATATTTATGAGTCACTGCTTCTATCGATATTTTAACTTTTTAAATTAAAATAATGGAGACAAACGAAGAAACTGATTAAATAGCATTTCAAATAATCAGGAAGTAACTTTCATCTTTTTATGAAAAATGTTGTCAATACCGAAAACCTAATTGTCTACATGCAACACTTGCGTCCGGATAATGGAAAATATTGTTACAGACACTACCCCATATGCCACTATGGAATATTTCGAGTCTCCCTTCTCTGGAATTAGAACCATTAACCAGTCGTAAATCACCTGTTTTGGATAATAAAAAGTATATAAGTATACATAAAATAATTACTCTAACAACTCTTGATGCTGACATCATTTGAATTTTGGTTGGAATCTTCTCTCTTGTTTTAATTTTCGTTGATTGCATGTGCTGGTTATTGATCGTATTTTCCAAAATTAAACAACAGGTGATTTGAGGAACAGGAAATTATATACATGAAATTTTGTTTTGACCTTTTAACCCTAAAAATGTACTGATACAGTTGCACTTCTCGTAAAATTATTCTAGAGAATATTAAAATTAAACGAAACTAGAATGAAAGTAAATGAGGTCATAATGCCCTCTAAAATCATTACTTACCATCATCCTGTCCTTCGGCGATAAGAGTACATATACACAGCGTTGTGGATTTAAGGAAAGAAATCCACATATTAGTTTCAATATTCCAGTATAGTAATTAGTCTAAAACAAAACAGTGTTTCCACCAGTAATATTCTATTATTAAAAATAAACATTTCAATCTTAAATGCCAAGTGTCCCCCTTATCATATCACTTTGATATACATGAGTGTAATTTGCAAAATATTGATATGAAATATTGACATACAAACTTGTTTCAACTATATATTGTAATTTTATCGTATTCTCTTTTATTTATTCATATTTCATTCGTATAAAAAGCACAACATAAAATTTAAAACCTCGGGGAACATGGCAAAGGATATTAATGAGTTTGTTTGGTAATGTATTTCCTCTGTTATATAACTTACAACAACTTTATCAAACGTGTCGGAAAAGTGATCAACATACTGTTGCAAAACACTAATACCGAAATATAATATTGAGTATGGACTCAAAATACAAATGCATTGTATCCAGACGTTGTTTACCTTTGTGGTGTGTTTGCAATATATATAGTTATTGAAGCTTTAATCTCCAGACATTTATTTTAAAAAATACAATCAAATAATCAATAAAAAAAAATCATTCGATCAAACAATAAGAGAAATGCCCAACTGCAAATACAGACGCATGAAGCAATGTCAAAGTAGTATTTTACAGTTACTTTCATGTACGTGATTTGGTCATCGGTTGGTTGATAGTTGTTTCCTTTTACATAACAATGCATTATGTACACTTTCATTGTTTTATGAAATTCAGATTGAAAATGGGGAATGTGTCAAAGAGAAAACAACTTGAACAAAGAGCAGAAAACAGCCCAAGGCCACCAATAGGTCTTCAACACTGCTAGAAAGTTCCGGACCCGGAGGCGGGCTTCATCTGGCCCATAAACAAAAATATGTACTAGGTCAGTGAAAATGGAGGTCACACTAATCTCCAAAACATATACATGAACTTAAAAAATATTTATATACATGATATACAAGACTAACAAAGGCCAGAAGCTCCTGACCTGGGACAGGCGCAAAGATGCAGTGGGGATTACATGTTTTGTGAGATCTCAACCCTCCCCCTATACCTAACCAATGTAGAATTAACAAACACGCAGCAATAAGCACAGTAAAACTCAGTTTAAAAGAAGTCCGAGTCCGATGTCAGAATAAGTAACAAAAGAAACTAAGCAAAATGACAATGATACATAAATTAACAAAGATCTAGTATCAGTTACTGACATGCCAGCTCCAGACCTCAATTAAACTGATTGAGATATTATGTCTTCATCATATGAAAATGAAGCACAATCCCTCCGGTTAAGGGTTTAGTATCATACTATCATAAAATATATGAGAAGAGCATAACCCGTATTATTCTAACAACTGGTTTTAGAATACATGTGTTTATTTTCGATGCAAAGACCCTACGAGTGAATCAATATTAATTCAAACATATGCCATCTTTAATGACCTGACAACAGTATACTAACTATATCTCTTCTGAATAAGTCAGTTTAAAGATTTGGTTAACTTTTGATGTGAATTACGACATGTTTGTGTATTGTATAGAATATTATCATAACAGATTGGATGTGAAATTCCTGAACGTATAAGATGTGTGCATGTAGACTTATATTTACGAATGATGTCCTTGTACCGATGATACAATTTAATAGAAAAGCAAAATGAGGATGTTAAATTTGATGTATGCCTTTTTCTGCTTCTTCGTTACATTTGTTTGTTTTTATAGTGATTAAGATGATAACACAATGTTGACCGCTGTACCCCTATTTTTGACATTTTTATCTATTGTGTCTGTTTGTTTTGTTCACACATCGTTGTCAATACAATGGAATTTGATGCGACGCTCATACAAGTGAGAGGTTTAGATAGCTATAAAACCAGGTTCAGTCCACCATGTTCTACATAAAAAAATGCCTTTACCAAGTCAGGAATATGACAGTTGTTACCCATTCGTTTGATGTGTTTGAACTTTTGATTTTGCCATTCGATTAGGACTCATAGCTAGAAATTGACTTTGAGAGTCGGTTGAAAACAAAACTTTTCGACAAAAGAGATGATTTCAGCTTCCCAATTGTGACCTTTTCATTTTTAAACCATGAGTTCTAAATGGTGCAGTTGAAATCATCACTTCGTAGGTTTTTACGGACGCCGTCGCGGGTTGGTTGACCGTTATGGAATATCTGTTTCACAGATGATATCGGATATGATCCTTATGTCGTTACTACAATCCCGTTCCCTTTTCACGAATGTGACCTTCCGAATTAGAATATTTACAGGCTTTGTAATAACATGAGCAACACGACGGGTGCAACATGTGGAGCAGGATCTGCTTACCCTT